GGTTAATCTGGATGAAATATAGACAGTCACCTGTTGGTACCCATGGGGAATCGGTTCCTTTACCCCCTCAGATAACAAAATTCTCCAGTTCTCAATTCCCTGTGGTACGTTGTTGTAGTATTTGCATATAACCTATGCATATCCTCCTATACTTTTAATTCATCTTTAAATTACTTATAATAACTAATACAATATAAACACAATGTAAATGGTTATACTGCATTGCTTTTTTATTTGTCTTATTTTATTGCCATATTGTTATTATTTATTGTTTGATTGATTTTCTGAATATTTTTGATCTGCAGGTGGTTGAATCTGCAGATGCAGAACTGCAGACATAGAGAGCCGATGGCACTGGTGTTTGTCACACTAGTCTTTTAACTTTTCAATATGTAACTTCTCAAAACTAAATAAAGAGGTGGAGTTAATGCCTATATTCTCTTAGGCTACATGTACTGTCCGTGAAGCTGGGGCCAGGAGGCAGACACTTGGGGATCCAAGGCAGGTAACCGGTCACCTGGGCCTTGGTGCCCGCTGCCAGAATATGCCGCTGGGGGACGGGACACTACCCGTCCCTGGCTCGGTGTGGTGCTGCCTGCTCTTTCTACCTTACCACACTCTTTCTTCCTTAAAATCTTCACTTATTTTTGTCATTGTCATATGCTTGGCCCTGCTTTTCATCCCATTCCTGTTTTATTTCATTGAGTGTGGTAAAATATGGTTATTTGACCAAAAAATAAAGATAGAATTGTAACTCAAATACTCGGAACAAGCTGCCCTTGAAATTTCTTTCTTGCTGTAAGAAAGTCAGCTCAGATTCCAGCAGAAACGTCAAGCTGTCTGTCATTTTAAAATGCATTTAAAGAAAGTAGGGCAAGGAGAATCATGTTTTGCTGCAAACCTCTGCAAAACTATTTTTTTTTCCTCTAAGCCCTTCAAAGCCTTTTTATTTCCCACACTACGGCAATTTTGGCTCCAGCCTTTTTCTGAGGCTTTGATTATTGAAAGCTGTCACTACCACGTGTTTGTGGTTTCCCGGCCTGAAGCCACTTCCTGGAGAAGTCAGCAGTTGTTTTGACAAAGTCCAGGGAGAGAAATCAAGACAATTCCCTTGGCTGGGGGGAGGGGGCAGTGGCTAGGGACGGCAGTCACTTCAGGAGAACAACATTTTAGGGTTTTATTCCACTGGAACAGGGTCCCTGTTGACACACTTCTTACTTCTCACCTGAGCTGTCCTGTGATTTGGAAAAGAGTAACTTCACACTCAGTTTCATCAGCTGTAAAAGGAAGAGATTGGACCGGATTTCTCTAAGGCTCTCCAGCCCCGTAGCTCTGTGACGGTCCAGGCAGCAGCTGCTCCTGCATGGACACAGCCCGGCTCACTGATGTCTGAGTAATTTTAAACCTGGTTACAAACCTTCACATAGTTCGAGGCTAGGCCTGAGCCTGAGAGAACATGAGCCTTGGGGAGTGCTTTCACCTGAGGGGAGGCTGAACAGCAACTTCTACCTTTGAGGCAGAGGGACTTTGAGAGCCAGATGACAGAAACAGTTTATTTGAAACAGCTGAGTGTCAGAAAGATCCACCCAGCAGGCCTCCTTCCCCTGGGTTCTTATTGTAAACTCTGGGAAGGCAGCATACTGGGCTGAGGTTGGCTGTGCAGGACAGCAAGCCTGAAGATATAAAAGCAGGTCCTACAGGGTGGTGGGTGGCTTCACGAAGCCTCCAAGGACTCACACTCCCCTCTGTGGTCCCACCACGTTCAGCGAGTGGTCCGCACCTCATGGTCTAGGATGGTGGCCACGATCCAGCCACCATATCCATCCTGAGCCAGCAGAAGAGAAGATTGGTGGGAACTTTTAAGATTCCACTTTTGGAGACTTTTGAGGACACTTTCCAGGAGGATCACACAACATTTCCACTTAACATTTGATGGATGGCCAAAAATTTGTCAAATGGCCACTCCTAGTTGCAAAGGAAGGCGGGAAATGCAGTCTTTATGTGGAGTGGCCATGTGTCCACTTAAATGTCAGAGGTTCTATCATTGGGCAATCAGGGAGGACAGATATTGGGAGTGGAAACTGGCAGCATCTGTCACAGAAAGTCTATTTTTGAAGAGCAAGGGTTTTAAAATCACGAGTCCTGGTTTTAAATTTGATGCCTGCTTAGTAGCTGTAAGACGCTGGTGAAGGCTCTTAACCTCTTTGATCTCTTCTAATGTATCATCTGTAAAATTGACACGATACTCACATCATGGGGATAAAATGCAGGAATGAATGTTCAATATTTGGCAGAGCAGCTGTTACTATTACACAAGTCCCAACACCAGCATCTTTGACTTCATGTATTTATTTTGATATGTGGTATTGGTTATACCTGGTGTATTTCATTCCTACCTTTTTGTGTTCTTGCTAGAGAATTAATGAGTTTGGCTGCGGCCAGAACAGTGGGGGACATGGTAAACTAGTGTGTGCCTGAAGAGGACAAAGCAAACTGGCCAATGTTTATGTGACCTCATGTTAACCAAGTGGCCTGGAGAACATGAGAGTTGGGTTAGCAGTACAGTTACAGGAAATATTCACACTCTAGAAACTTGTGAAGGATAAGACGGTGTAGAAACAGGAAGAGCTTAGGGGAGGCAGCTCCAGGCCAGATGCCCTGCTAAAGGGAAAATCTCTGGTCACCATAAGTGGGAGCTCAGACTACAACTCAGAGCCCTTGGACTCTGATGCTTCCTGACTCTTGAGGGAGATTTCTAGAGAACAAAGGTCACTTCCTCAACGCCAGCTGTTCCTTGACCAGTTAAGAGCCATCTGGGTTTACTGTGAGTCATCTGTAATGAAATCTGTTCCAGGAGCAGGGAATGATTCAAGGAAAGTGTGGTTGGAATTTTTTTTTTCTGTATTTGCTCACCACTCCCAAGTCTGGTAGACTCTGATCATAAATATTCCCTGGTACTTTCTGGGACTGGGCACTGTGTAGGCTGTGAGGGCTGTGAGCAAGACCCGGCTTCTGCCTCAAGGTTGTCACCACCCATGGGGAGCCGGTCAAGCATCAGGTGTGGTAGATGTCAGATGCTCCCACTTCTTGACCCCTCCCAGTGTAACTATTTCCCTGCCCCACTGATGGCAGGTTTGGCCCCCTGACTTGCTGTGGCTGATGGAATGTGGGAAGACCAGAGTGAGTTAGTTCTGAGCATGGCCTGGTGTGCTTTACCCACATGGTTTTTGCCATCTCATGAGAACATCACCTCCTGGGAAGCTTACTAGTCCAAGGAGGATGAGAGACACATGCAACAGGCTGGACCCCACTGATAGCTCAGAGCCAGGCCTAAGCCAACCTGGTCTAGACTAGCCAACTTCTGTCTGACCCACAGACTTGTGAGTAGTGTAGGAGAATTGTAGAGAATTGTAGGGGAATTATAGAAAAATATATATATATATACTCAGTTTTGTATCAAATGCTTGCTAAAAACATTTTAAGTAAAGCAGCTTCTAAGAGGCCATAAAAAGGTCAGGCGGGCCCAAGCACACTAAACATTCCAGGAAGGAATGACCCCCACCCGGTTCCAGGAACTGACTAGTTCCTTATCTAAAGGCCACCTGGCCAGGCCCCAGGGAAGATAAACGATTGAGAAATGCACCGTTCCTTATCAGGGGTACCAGCCTCCTAAAGCCCATCTGTAAATCTAAAGGCACCACAAATCTATTGGGGTACCAGCTTGCTAAAGTCTACCCATAAATCTAAAGGCGCCACAGATAACCAACAACTCATCCTGTCATAAAGGTCTGTTCAGGAAAAACAGTATAAAAGGTGCTTGTATTGTAAAGTCAGGGTCACTTCTGTCCAGGAGACTAAGTGACCCCAGCATGCTGGAATAAAACACCTCTTGCCTGATTGCAGCGGTCTCAGTCTCGTGGTCTTTGTGAAGTGAGCCGTCCCTGCGAGTGTGAGATTTGTGCACGGTGCATGGGTCTTACAGTAGGAATGAATGATTGTTGTTTTACACTGTTCAGTTTTGGGATGGTTTGTTAAGCAGCATTGTTGTGGCAATGGTTAGCTGATACAATTGACAATGGTGACATGCTGCAGGAAGGACCACAGGGAGACACCAAAGATACTCCAGTCTTGGGGAAGCTTGAGGAAGCAATGCTTTATGAACTTGTATAAATTAATCATGTTTTGGACCTTATTTTGCTTTTCCCCTAGGATGCTTTAGAGCAGAAAGTGAGCAGTGTGCAGAATCTCTCAGCGTATGTCAGAATCGTGTGTAAAGTAAGAGTCAACCCACAGGGAATATAGAAAAAGTTCTCTGACAAGTGAAAGGTGAGGACCTTTCGGCTTCTAGTGATCCATTCACTCCTTCATTCATTCAGTAAATAGGAGTTGGGGACAGAATTGTCAATAGAACAAAGTAGAATCCGTGTGCACGTGAGCTGACATGACAGAGAGAGGAGACATGGTTGATGATGAACGCCATAGACAGCCGCAGAGCAGAGAGGAAAATACGGAGGATTGGGCAGGAGGATGTTGCGATTTCATACAAGGAGGTGAGAGAAGCCTCACCAAGAGAATGACACGTGAGCATAGACTTGAAGGAGGGGAGGGCACGAGCAGACATCTCAGCCAAGGAGAGTGTCTCAGGCAGAGGGGCAGCGACTGCTGAGGCACACTGCTGCAGAGACAGAAACTTAGGATACGGAATTCCTATTTCAAGAGGGTCTGCAAGTGCTCCAGGGATTTGAGTTAAGGCATGTTTGGTGAATGTAGCTGTAGAGTAGCAAATCAAAGAATTTTGGGTTTTCTTGTTTAAAACAAGATCTAGGCAAAAAGTTTTCCATCAGCTGGTGAAGCCTCCAGATGCTACCCTGGGACCATCTTCAAGGGTTCTCCCTTTGAGAGTTTGTGGCTGCTGGTGACCTCCTGCCTCCTCCGCTAGGCTACAGGGTGCCGGACCTCAGATCTCCACTTCCCGTGTGCTCTGGAAGTTGTCGGGGACAATGTTCATCTTGTACATGTTGATAACGGGTGTTTCTGCCTTCACCATTCAGCCGGAGGAGCACACAGGTGAGGAGCACGCAGGTGAGGAGCACACAGGTGAGCATGCAGGTGAGGAGCACACAGGTGAGCACGCAGGTGAGCATGCAGGTGAGCACACAGGTGAGCATGCAGGTGAGGAGCACACAGGTGAGGAGCACACAGGTGAGCACGCGAGTGAGGAACACACAGGTGAGGAGTACGTGGGTGAGGAGCATGCAGGTGAGGAGCACACGGGTGAGGAGCACACGGGTGAGGAGCACAC